GGAACCAAGTGACAGCCGGAAATACGTCTGCGTTCGCAGGCTAGACTGAACAAGGACAAAGACCGACCTAGAAACAGCCGTGGATCGTTCAAGAAGAACTAATACTTCTAATTGGGATGAGGTAAAAATGCCCTTGCTCGTGCCAGAAGAGCTCGAATGATTACAAGAGGAGCTATGGAGGAGAATCGGGGAAGCCATGAAGGGCAATGGGGGAGACTTTCACTGGTATGTCTTCATTAAACACTGACAATAGCAATGGCAATGCACAAACAAGCAACAGAAACGTTCCTCTTCATCCATGTGGTACAGTTTACTAAGTAGTGCAGCAAAGCAAAAAAAACAAAGAAAAATAAAAAACCGAAGGAAAACCCATTTATCACGACGCCATTTTGTAACCAAAGCTTGCGCCCCTACTCTGTAGCGAAACGGCTGCGCAAAGTTACCGTTTTTTGGACGGCGCGACGAAAAATTGTATTGAAATGGACGACAAAAAATGGCCTGTGTAAACGGGCCTTTAGTAAAATTGCCTTACATAAGGCGCAACGCAAAATCATCTTACTGGCCGAGTCTGCGATGTTGCTTGATTTTTATGCATATGTGCCAGTGAAACCAGACTTTATAAGACAAGAAAATTCTAGCCAAACAATAATGCCGATTGTCTGCAATATTTCCGGTATTCAACGATACCTATTTCACCATTCTCACTCCTGGCTTTAAAGAAAACGAACTGGATCAGAGCTCGACTGCGGATCGTTAGGACAGTGAAATATTTTAAGGAGGTTGTGTGTAGATCCTATGTGTGCAAAATAAATGTAAACAAATCTTGCAAATTTCAAGACAGCAGATTAACAGCAAGGGAAGCTAGGGCCGGGTTGTTCCGGAAGAGCCCGATTAAGCTAACCCAGAATTATTAGCGAGAGTTTTGATTTCAATTTTGTAACTTTTCGTTCTGTTTATATTGTCTGTCCTTCAGTTTTGTGTTTGAATAATCTCAAACTACATAAAACATAAGCAGTAAAAAACATTTTTATACAAGAGGACAAAGACAAGAAATGATCATATTTACAGTTATATCTTTAAAAAGTTAAAAGCACCGCATGAACAACACAAAACCGTGAAATCAATATTGAAACAAAATTATCAAAATAAAAGCTGCGCGCTTTTGCATTTCATTTACGAAATATGCAATGATTAGTGCTGGATTCTGAAGGTCATAAATAATTTTATGCCTCTTCAAATGATTTTTCTATTATTAATGCTTAGTTTAAACCATTGAACGAATAAAATTAATGGAAGACATTTTTGAAAAGAACAAAGCTAACGAAATCAAATTCATACGCCTGCCATTGACTCGGTTGTCACCAACCAAAACTCAACATGAACAATTTTCTCGTGAACAGTCGTTATATATAGCAGCGCGTGGTAAACGCTATGATTTAAACTGAATTAAATACTAATGACAAAGGCAAAGCTTTTTCTCTGTAGGTGCCATCGAAAAATATCTCCCTCACTCACGATTTTAATGTTGACTGTTTAAACCCTTCAAGGCAGTGAGAAGCCATTTATATATTAGTCCTTACCTGTCGTGGAAGCGCTGTCGAGATTATAGAAAAAAATCCAGCATTGAACTACAAGATACATCGCAATTATCCAAATTGCCAACGTGCCAAGTTTTCCTTGTCCTCTCATGCTTGCAGTCTATATTACCAGTTCATCGATATCTGCGAAGTACAGTATTTAACGACTGTTTGCAAATTTATTCCAAATAGCCTTTGTTGCCCAAACTAGCCGGGTCTTGTTTATTCTTTGAGACGTGTGATCTAACATATACAAATCCACTCAGCTTTTGTTTCAGTATTCAAATATATTTAGGAAAATGTTTCAGCTCACAGCACGGTTTCTAAGGTAACTGAGTGACCGCGGGAAACTGTGCTTTATCACGCATTCTTCATTTGCTGGAAAGACAGCTACGAACTGCCAGTGAGTATACTGAATTTCCGCTGTCCCTTATACTGTGAGACGAGCACAATCACCTTGACGTACAGTGGGACGCTGCCCGAAGCGTCCCACAATATCGACCGCTAAAATTACCCGTTAAAAAAGGCCTTTTTCGCCCATCGGACATTACAAGGAAACCAAGATAACTGAACTAAAAAATAGGATGAAAATCGTTTTACACTAAAACGCGCTTTGCGCAGGTGGGCATTGTATTCATTACTCGGCGAACTGCGAGAGGCCATGAGAGATCAAAAGTAAATTATACCTTAGCAGGGAAACCCAATAGCTAGAGGAAGGACTACAGGGAAACCAAGAACTTCTTTTCTATCAGAAAAATATTTAAAGCATGAATTTTTCGTCGCTTTTTATAAACTCCCCTGTAAGTGAAGTTGGTTCCAAGTCCCCCAATCTAACGCGATCAAAAAGCCAAGGGAAAAGCGTGGAATTAAGGATGACGTGTAACAAAAGTAAGTTTAGATAGTCATACAGACTGAGATATCAATAAGTCTATATAACATGGCCTATTCTACGGTTAATTTTTTATTTGCGTTTTCACAAAATTCAACGTGGATTTGAGGTAATTTCGGGTAGAAACTACAAAATTGCGCGAATTTGTGTCACATTTACGATCATAAAATGATGCAAATATATGAAAAACCACGACGAGCGATAAGCAGAACTCAGAACAAAATGCTCTCACACACTCGTTAAACGGAAGCCGGTAAGCATCTATTGACGTTTCTTTCTAGACATGAAAGTAAAAAAATAATTGTCATTTCTGCTTGACAGAAATTTGTCTATTTTGTGCAATGAACGGAAAAATAAATTTACTGAAATTAATTCGCGAGCGGTCCATCTTAGCGTCTCAGCGGACCAAATTGCAAAATTCGGACCGCAAAGAGAAGCAATCAGAATTATCCTTTTCATCGCGTACCAGTTCAGCCATGTAATAAATATATGCTATTTATCAGCATTTTCAGTGCCTGAGGCCACGGGTTTTCACTATACTGGCCGACCATAACCGGTAAAAAACGTATTTATCGTACGGGCGTTACCGTGACCGTGGGCAGAAACACTGTAGGAAAATCCGGACCGCTCAAAGAACCAATTGATTGCAAGAATTTAAGTTACTTTGCCCTCTTGGGAAAAAAAAAAT